TGCTGGCGCGGAGGCTACTGCTGTCGGTCCTGGAGGCGGTCTTGCTGAGGGTGCTACTGGTACTGCTGGAGGTACTGGAGCTGGAGGTGCTGCTGGTGTGGGAGCTGCCGCTGGGGGTACTGGTGCTGTCCCTGCTGTGTCTGGAGTCGCCGCGCGGCCTCGGCCGTACTTCGTTCCGCTCCTTTGGCAGGTTCTTGGTCTTCCGCCTTCTACTGGTCCTCCTCCTCCCTTAGAGTGTCCACCGCCTGTCCCGTCACAGTTACAGTTACAGTCGGCCTCCACACTGCCTGCTCCGTCTCCCTACACTGGTCCTACTAGAGGTCTTGCTGAGCGTTGTGAGCCTGCGTCTCGCCCTGCGTCGCCTGACCGTGCTGCTCGCACTAGTGGTCGCGGTTCGCCTCAGCGTCCTCATCCTATCCCTGGCACGCACCGGATGTCTCTGCGTCCGTCCACTGCTCCTTTGCGTGCCCCTTTGCCTTCTCCTCCTGAGTCTTCTCTTCCTGCTCTTGTCGACCCGGAATCGGACTCTCTTCGTGCTGCCAGTCCTACTGTCACGCGTCTCCTTGCTACTGTTGTCACTGACCCTTCCTTTGAGTCCACTGCTGCGTCTGCCCTAGTTGCTGAGCTCGTTGACTTTGTTGCTTGCTATCGTCTAGACTACGCTGCCAGTCTTGTTGCTGAGTCTGAGTTTGTCTGTCCTCCGTCCGTCGAGGGTGAGTGTGCCCTTGGCACAGACGTCCTTGAGGACAGGCAGGAGGAGTTCCACTGCTTGGCCGCTGCTTCACCTCATCTCGTGTCCGTACTACTTACCCCTGAGGGAGACCCGGATGCACTAGACATCCCGACTCCGCGCTCTTACGCGGAGGCGATAGAGGGTCCCTACTCCTCTCAGTGGCAGGCAGCTATGGACGCAGAGATGGCTTCCTGGAAGTCCACAGGCACCTACGTTGACGCTGTTCCCCCACCTGGGGCGAACATCGTCAGTGGCATGTGGATCTTCAGGGTGAAGCGGCCGCCAGGTTCTCCACCTGTCTTCAAGGCGCGGTACGTGGCTCGTGGCTTCAGTCAGCGGCAGGGAGTTGATTACTTTCAGACCTCTCCCACCCCGAAGATGACCACTCTTCAGGTGCTGCTACACATAGCCGCTCAACACGACTACGAGCTTCACTCTCTTGACTTCAGCACTGCTTTCTTGCAGGGCAGCCTGCACGAGGAGATCTGGCTGCGCCGCCCACCTGGCTTCACTGGGTCGTTCCCTCCTGCTACCCAGTGGAGCCTCCGGCGTCAAGTTTACCGTCTCCGCCAGGCGCCACGTGAGTGGCACGACACACTCAGGACTACACTTGCGGCTCTTGGGTTTGCTCCTTCTACTGCTGACCCGTCGCTGTTTCTACGCACCGACACCTCTCTGCCGTTGTTCTACATCCTCGTGTACGTCGACGACTTGGTCTTTGCCACAGCTGACACTGCTGGACTCGCCTACGTGAATTCCGAGCTGCAGAAGAGACACACGTGCACAGACCTGGGTGAACTGCGCAGCTACCTTGGCTTGCAGATCACCCGGGACAGAGCACGCTGCACCATTACCCTGACTCAGTCACACATGGTGCAGCAGGTCCTTTAGCGCTTCGGCTTCACGTACTCCTCGCCTCAGGCCACTCCTCTGCCTACTTGCCACTTGCTCTCAGCTCTGCCTTCGGATGAGTCCGTAGAGTCGAGTGGCCCGTACCCAGAGCTTGTTGGCTGCCTCATGAACCTGATGACCTGCACACGACCTGACCTTGCATACCCTCTTAGCATTCTCACACGCTATGTTGCTCCTGGGAGACATCGACCAGAGCACATGGCTGCAGCGAAGAGGGTGTTGCGCTACTTGTGCAGTACGTCGGGCATGGGGCTAGTGCTTGGAGGGCGTAGTCCAGTGGTCCTTACTGGGCACGCAGACGCTTCTTGGGCTGACGACCAGGCTACGCAGCGGTCGTCACAGGGTTACACCTTCAGCCTTGGTTCAGGCTCTATCTCGTGGCGCGCTACTCGCTCGTCTTTTGTTCTCGGCTCCAGTTGTGAGGCTGAGATCTACGCTGGGGCCATGGCTGCACAGGAGCTTCGCTGGCTCACCTACCTGCTGATTGACCTCGGAGAGCCGCCTCGTTCTCCTCCAGTGCTGTACGTAGACAACAAGGCCATGCTGGCCTTGTGTCGAGAGCAGCGACTGGAGCACAGAACAAAGCACATTGCTCTCCGCTACTTTCTTGCTCGTGAGCTACAGCAGCGTGGACGGTTGCGGCTTGCGTACGTGGCCTCTGAGGCCAACACTGCTGATGTTTTCACAAAGGCACTTTCGCCTTGTGATCATCAGCGCTTCTGCACTCAGTTGGGTCTTGTCCCTGTCTTGCCTCACTTGCTCACCTCTTGACCTTGCTTGTACTGTTACATATATATATACTTGCTCTTGCTTGTCTAGCTATATATATATATGTACTTCGCATGTGAACTTGCCTTTGGCCTTGTACTTGTGCTCGGAATGTGTGGTGACTTTGTGATCCACCCTGAGCTTTGCTTTTTTTTGCTTTGCTTGACTGGTCTTGTGTTCCCCTGTTCTCCCCCACTTTGCCTATGGGGGTGTGTCAGAACATTATAGCTTATGCTTTTGTGTAGGCTGTAGTGGGGTATCCCATACGGGGTACAACCCAATTAGGGTTAGTACTTGTACCCACTTTATTCATAGTTTATTCATTCTCGTTTCAGTTTTCTCACGATGCACATGCGAAACCCTCCGTCTTTTTTTGGCGTGAACAGTATCTGTGCGGCGAACGGTGACGAGTTCGGTCGGATTAATTTCTTCTCTAATAAGTAATCTAATTGCTTCCTCAGTTTGTCAAGCTTGGGCTGTGTCAGTCTAAACTGTTGCCGTATAGTTGGTTGTGCCCCCGGTTCTAATTCTATTCGGTGGTCATGTGCTCGCTGAGGTGGCAGTCCTTCCGGTAAGTCGTCGGGAAGAATCCAAGGGTATCGTTTCAATAGTTCCTGTAGTTCGGGCGGTAGTGCTGCCAGCAGTTTCTTGAAATCACTCGGCTGCTCTGCTCCTTCCACCACTGAAACGTCTACTGCGTACACATCAGCCCCAGCAGCGACAGCCTGTTTCATGGTGACGACGTTGACGCGTGCCGTTGAAGACTCGGGCGACTGCCAGCGAGGTAGCTCAACCCAGTTACCGCTACTTCGCATAGTGCAGCTACCCGTTGTCCAGTCAATTCGCGGGTTATACCGTCGCAACCAATCACGTCCTAGTAAAATGTCGTGCCCATCGAGTGTCGTCGCGAGCATTTCCTGTGTAAATCCGAAATTTCCCCCGCAGCGGACTTTGACTCTCTCCACCCTTTCCCGTATGGCCAGTGGCGTGCCGTCAACTAATCGTGCATCTATCTCAGGTAAACAACGGCTAGGTGATAGTTGCAATCTGCGTGTGGTTGCGGTATTAACTAAACTGTGACTTGCTCCTCCGTCGATAAAAATCTTCACTGCTGCTCCCTGTATTTTCCCGTGGATAAATACCGGGCAATCCGTTGCTGTACCCTCCTTATTCGTCCGAACCCGATCGATAGCATGAATCGGTACTATTACTCGGTGAGGGTCGGTGCGGTTGAGCGAGCAGGCAGTCTCGTCAGTAGTTAGCCCGATTCCTACTGAGTGTTGGCGTTTCCCTGCCTTGGAGACTCCCTCCCCTGCTCTGCTCCGCGGCGCCTCAACTCCTCTGGGCATTCAGTCTTGCGATGGCTCGGCCTGTTGCAAGCAAAGCAGCGCCCCTTAAACGGCGCGGCAGCTGCATTCGTCGCAACGGCATGTACGGTGGCGTGCTCGATCGGTCCCCGAGGACGATGTCCGTAGTAGGACCCTGGTCTCGGATGGCGCAAAATGTTGATTTTCTCGGCGAGCGCGAGAATCTCGTTGAAGTTCGAGAGCCCGCGTAGCATGATCTCGTGCGAGATGTTCGGTTTCAGCCCTCCGACGAAATGGTCCACCCGCTCCGCTTCGTGCATGAAGCCGACTTGTTCGCATAATGCGAGAAAACCACTCGTATAGTCTTGAATCGACCCGAGTTGCCGCCAAGTACGCAGTCTCTTACGCGCCGAAATAGAAGTCGCGATTGGCTCGAAGCGCGCCCAAAGCCCTGCGCACCACGCATCCCACGTGCTGTATTGGGCGGTTTTGCAGAATGAACTCCAAGTGACGCTGCATGAGCCGACTCTACCGAGAACGAAGTTGAGGAGTCAGAAGAGCCGAAGCGATGCAGCAACCGTCAGACCAAGACCGATGCAGGCAGAAACATTTGAAGTGAAAAGAGCGGGAACAGGTTTCGAACGAGTTTACCCGCCGCACGGTTTCTGAATTCAGTTGTCATAAGGGAATGTACCCCTTAGAGTACATGGCTAGTCTAGGTCCTTTCGTATTCCCTTGTACTCTTATATAAACTCGATGTATGCATGCTATTATCAACTCAGTCATTTACATTCACTCTGACCTGAGATTCAAACTTCCGCTGCAACACTACTCCGTGATCAACCCTGAGCGATCCTTTGCTAAGTCCCACTTGGGATTGTAACATGGTATGGAGAGCTACTCAGGGATTCTTCGCAACTTCACTTCCGAGAAATTCGCCGAATCAAGACCTGGCGAGCGGCACACGCTCCAAGACCAAGATGGCCGGAGGATCCAGAGGCCAAGCAAATCTGACAGCTGAAGGACAACCCAATCCAGCTACGACAAGTGAGGCGACAACCACGATCGGCACTGCCGCCCTCGAGCAACTTTTCAATTGACTTTCAGCTATGGAGAAAGAACTCCAAGAACTGCGCAAAGGCGATGCGGGAATCTCTTCCCAACCAGCACAACCTAGACAACCGGCTGAGTTCCCCTCCACGCCCCTCCCGCCGCACCCCTCCCCATGGCTTGTTCCGCTCAGCAACTGCCCCAACTATTGCTCTGCGATGGGCGCTGCGATGCCACCTACTAGGAGTGCAGGTACGAAGGAGGGAGGGGGAAAGGGGGGGAAGAGAGGAGGGGGCGGGAAGAGGGGAGGACAGGATGGGGTGGGTCACTTCGCAGGCTCGTGTGAGGGCAAGAGCTACTCAACTGCGTGCTTGGAAGAACTCACTTGCACATGTGGGTCACACACCTCCACACTCCTCCGCACCCCTCCACACCCCTTCCCCAGGTGCCCCTGGTACCATGACGGCAGTGCATGTGAGGATGAGAGCTTCTCAGTGGCGTGTCTCAACTCACTCACACATGTGGGCCACACACCTCCACACCCCTCAAAACCCTTCAACACCCCTCCACACCCCTTCCTCAGGTGCCCCTGGTACCACGACGGCAGTGCATGTGAGGACGAGAGCTTCTCGGTAGCGTGCCTCAACTCACTCGCCTGTCTGTCTTCTACACCCCTCTGCACCCCTCCAAACCCCGCCAGGTGTCCCTGGTACCACGACGGCAGTGCGTGCGAGGACGAGAGCTTCTCAGTGGCATGTCTCAACTCACTTACACATGTGGGTGGGTGGGCCCCATCGCCCCACACATCTCCACGCTCCTCCACAACCCTCCACACCCCTTAAAACCACTCAGAACCCCTTTAAACCCCTCCACACCCATCCACAACCCTTCGCAATCAGGTGTCCTTGGTACCACGACGGCAGTGCATGTGAGGACGAGAGCTTCTCAGTGGCGTGTCTCAACGACTGCTCGCAGCGGGGCGGCTGCGAGGGGGGCGTGTGTCAATGCCAGGCGGGCTTCTTTGGTGCCGACTGCTCGCTCTACTATAATGAGGAGTTGCGTCTGAGGTGAGAGGTCTGGGAAGGTTGAGAGGGATGGAAAAAGAGTTTGCTTCAGTTGCAGCCCGTGTGTGCTAGTCGGTACTGTCTGTGTGTCAGTGCCAGGCCGGCTTCTTTGTTGCCGACTGCTCGCTCTATTACAATGAGGAGTTGCGTCTGAGGTGGGTGGGGGGGGGGGGGGGGGTACACCTTGTGTGTGCTCTTTTTTTGCCATCTGCTCACTCTTATCACAATAAGGCGAAAAGGAAACCTTTTCTCACCATCGCCAACTCCTCTTTCCCATCCTCCACCTTCCCCGCCCACCAATCAGGAGGCTCCCCGGGTCGCCCTTTCCCTGGGCCGACATTCCAGAGAGTGACACGTTCACAGCATCACCAGCAGCATCACCATGCGGAGAGATCCAGCCAGCAGCCTCCCTCAGCCCACAGCCACAACCAGCGCAAGAGCAGCAGCAGCAGCAGCAGCAGCAGCAGCAGCAGCAGCAGAACGACGCAGGACAAACAGCAGCAGTAGCAGAAGGAGGAACAGCAGCAGCAATAGCAGGCGGAGGAGGGGCAGCATCAGCAATGGCAGCAGGAGGAGTGAAAGCTGCAGCAGGAGCAGCAGCAGCAGGGAAGCCCCTGAGGGTGTATGTGTACGAGTTGCCTCCGCAGTTCAACTCATGGCAGATGCAGCACTCGCCCTACATCGACCACCCCAAAGCCCTCTGGTTCTGGGAGCGGCTACTCGCCAGCCGCCACCGCACCATCGACCCGCGTGAAGCTGATTACTTCTACGTGCCTCTGCTCATCCGGTACGTGATATGTTTGGCGTGCTTCTGGATGCACTAGCTCTAGGTGTTAAGTGTGGTGGCTTGAGGTGATAAGTGGTGTGCACTGGCAGAGGCCCTCAGGTCCTGGGAGCGCCTGCTGGCCAGCCGCCACCGCACCATCGACCCGCGGGAAGCGGACTTCTTCTACATGCCTCTCCTCATACGGTAGGTGCTGGTGGGTGGCTCTAGGTGCTAGGTGCTGTATACCGGTAGAGGCCCACTGGTTCTGGGAGAGAGACTTCTGGCCAGCCGCCACCGCACCATTGGCCCGCGTGGAGCTGACTTCTTCTACGTGCCTCTCCTCATCCGGTTGGTGCAGTGGAGCTAAATGCTAGGCGGTGTTACAGATAGAGCCTCTCGGGCTGCTCGCCAGTCACCTCACCACCGCTCCATCAATCCTCTTGAAGCTGACATTCTTCTATGTGCCTCTCCGCAGCTAGGGGTACAACAAATTCGCCCTGCTACCCTAACCCTTCTGTCCTTTCCCTTCCGCTCTTCCTGCCCCTCCCGCCCTGTGCCCTCTCCTTGCCCTTCCTGGCCCCTCCTCCTCCTCCCTCTGCTCCTCCTTCCCGAACCCCCAACAGCAACCGAGACAGTGGCAAGCAGCGGCTCATCTCAGAGACCATTTCCTTCATCCGCTCGCTCGGCCCCTTCTGGGACGCCAAGGGCGGGGCAGACCACATTTTCCTGGTGAGCGAGGAGTACGGCAAGTGCGCCCTGCAGCTCTACGGGCTCGAGGACCCGCGGCTAGCTTCCGCAATCACCCTCACTCCATGGGGGTACACTTGCAACATGCTCGGGACGCCAGACGGAGGCCCGTGCTTCCGGCCCAGGCAGGACATAGTGATTCCGCCCTCGGCGCATCTGAGGCACCAGCAGAATGCGAGTATGGTGAGGGAGGCTGGAGGGCTGCCTACGCTGGTGAGGGAGGGAGGTGCGGATGGGGAGGGAGAGGTGCAGCAGCAGGGGCAGGAGCAGCAGGAGGAGGGGAATGGTGGGCAGGGGCAGGGTGGGAGGGAACGACAGTACCTTTTGTTCGTACGAGGGCTGAATGTGAGCGACGGCAGCAGCACCTGGGACGAGGAGGCACACCGGCAGGAGCAGGGGGGGCAGCGGCAGGGAGACAACAAGGAGCAGCAGCAGGTGCAGGCAAGGAGGAAGGAGCAAGGGAAGCCGCCGTTCAGCTTTGGCGTGCGGCAGCGGGTGTTTGAGCTGTACGCGAGGCGGGACGGCGAGACGGGCTTTAAGGTGGAGGTGGTACCGGATGGCGGTGAGGAGCTGGCGTATGGTGGCATGGAGCACAGCGTCTTCTGCCTTGCCACCGCGGGCCACGGCTGGCATGCGTTGCTCGCCATGGCCATGATTGCGGGATGCGTGCCCGTGGTCATTCAGGTGGGTCTCTGGTGTTGTTCAGGAGGGTCTCTGGTGTTATTCAGGTGGGTCTCAGTTGTCATTCAGGTGGGCTTTTGTTGTCGTTCAGTTGGGTCTCTGTTGTCGCTCAGGTGGGCCATTGTTGTCATTCAGTCTTGTTCTTCAAGTGAAAGCTGTGTTCTTCATTTGGGTCACAGGTATCAGTCTTGTAAGTGTGAGTGGAAGGGCCTCATGATTTATTTTTCTTTTCTTTTCTTTTAATCAACCAACCGACCTACCTGTCAGAACATTATAGCTTATGCTATTGTGTAGGCTATAGTGGGGTATCCCATAGGGGGTACAACCCAACTAGGGTTTCATATTTGAACTCGCTTCATTCATAGTTCACATCATTCTCGTTCTAATCTTCTCATGGTATCGAGCAGGTTCCCCCTTGGGAACTGTGCTTAGGGCCCACCACATCGAGTTTTTTTTTTCCTGCCCGAAGCGCGCTCAGCCCGAGTCGCGCTCCGGGTGTTGAGAATAGAACGAGAATGAATGAACTATGAATGAAGTGAGTACAAATAGGAAACCCTAACTGGGTTGTACCCCCTATGGGATACCCCACTACAGCCTACACAATAGTATAAGCTATAGTATAAGCTATATATATATGTTCTGACACACCCCCATAGGCAAAGTGGGGGAGCGCAAGGGGTCACAAGACCAGTCAAGCAAGACAAAGCAAAGCTCAGGGTGGATCACAAAGTCACCACACAGTCCGAGCACAAGAGCAAGGCAAAAGGCCAGTTCACATGCAAGAGTACAGACATATATATAAAGCTAGACAAGCAAGAGCAGGTATATATATGTCACAGTACAAGTAAAGTCAAGAGGAGAGCAAGTGAGGCAAGACAGGCACAAGACCCAGCTGGGTGCAGAAGCGCTGATGGTCACAAGGCGCAAGTGCCTTGGTGAACACATCAGCAGTGTTGGCCTCAGAGGCCACGTACGCAAGCCGCAACTGTCCACGCTGCTGTAGCTCACGAGCAAGGAAGTACCGAAGAGCAATGTGCTTCGTTCTGTGCTCCAGACGCTGCTCTCGACACAAGGCCAGCATGGCCTTGTTGTCTACGTACAGCACTAGAGGAGAACGAGGCGGCTCTCCAAGGTCAGTCAGCAGGTAGGTGAGCCAGCGAAGCTCCTGTGCAGCCATGGCCCCTGCGTAGATCTCAGCCTCACAACTGGAGCTGAGAACCGAAGACAAACGAGTGGCCCGCCACGAGACAGAGCCGGAACCAAGGCTGAAGGTGTAACCCTGTGACGACCGCTGCGTAGCCTGGTCGTCAGCCCAAAAAGCGTCCGCGTGACCTGTAAGGACCACTTGACTCCGCCCTCCAAGCACTAGCCCCATGCCCGACGTACTGCACAGGTAGCGCAATACCCTCTTCGCTGCAGCCATGTGCTCTGGTCGGTGTCTCCCAGGAGCAACATAGCGAGCAAGAATGCTCAGAGGGTATGCAAGGTCAGGTCGTGTGCAGGTCATCAGGTACATGAGGCAGCCAACAAGCTCTGGGTACGGGCCACTCGGCTCTACGGACTCATCCGAAGGCAGAGCTGAGAGCGAGTGGCGGGTAGACAGAGGAGTGGCCTGAGGCGAGGAGTACGTGAAGCCGAAGCGCTGAAGGACCTGCTGCACCATGTGTGACTGAGTCAAGGGAATGGTGCGGCGTGCTCTGTCCCGAGTGATCTGCAAGCCAAGGTAGCTGCGCAGTTCACCCAGGTCTGTGCACGTGTGCCTCTTCAGCAGCTCGGACTTCACGTAGGCGAGTCTAGCAGTGTCCGTAGTGGCAAAGACCAAGTCGTCGACGTACACGAGGATGTAGAACGGCGGCAGTGAAGTGTCGGTGCGCAGAAACAGCGACGGGTCAGCAGTAGAAGGAGCAAACCCAAGAGCCGCAAGCGTAGTCCTCAGTGTGTCGTGCCACTCACGCGGTGCCTGGCGGAGACCGTAGACTGGCCGTCGGAGGCTCGACTGGGTGCCAGGAGGGAAAGTCCCAGTGAAGCAAGGTGGACGGCGCAGCCAGATCTCCTCGTGCAGGCTACCCTGCAGGAACGCAGTGCTAAAGTCGAGAGAGTGAAGCTCGTAGTCGCGCTTAGCGGCTATGTGTAGCAGCACCCGAAGAGTGGTCATCTTCGGGGTGGGAGAGAAGGTCTGAAAGTAGTCAACTCCCTACCGCTGACTGAAGCCACGAGCCACATACCGCGCCTTGAAGACAGGTGGAGAGCCTGGCGGCCGCTTCACCCTGAAGATCCACATGCCTCTGACGATGTTCGCCCTAGGAGGGGGAACCGCGTCAACGTAGGTGCCTGTGGACTTCCAGGAAGCCATCTGTGCACCCATAGCTGCCTGCCACTGAGAGGAGTAGGGACCCTCTACGGCCTCTGCGTAGGAGCGCAGAGTCGGGATGTCTAGTGCATCCGGGTCTCCCTCAGGAGCAAGCACTACAGACGCGAGATGAGGTGAAGCAGGAGCGGAACGAAGTACGGCCGAGGCCGCTCGGTTGCTCCAGGCTCTGCAAGGACAGCACCAGCACCCTCAGCGGCAGGACCTCCAGCAGCACCAGCAGCAGAACCACCTCCAGGACAGATAGCTGGAGTCTCAGCACCAACACCTCCAGCAGCTCCAGCTCTAGTAGGACCCGCAGGCCCAGCAGCTCCGGGACCGGCGGCACCAGCACCCTTGACGGTCGAAGAAGCTCCAGCTCCGGCAGTACGCCTCCAGCGGCGAGCAAACCACTCGCGCAGCTCCTGTGGAGAGAGGGGCTCCCGCCGAGACGCAGTACCAGGAGAAACCCCAGGCTCAGCAGCCCCAGACGCAGCACCCCCAGGCTCTGCAGCTCCAGACCCAGCACCCCCAGGCTTAGTAGCTCCAGACTCAACACCCCCAGACTCAGCACCCCCTAGCTCAGCAGCTCCAGGCACAGCACCCCCCGGCTCAGCACCCCCAGGCCCAGCACCCTCCGCAGTAGCACCCCCAGGCTCGGCACCCCCGCGCACAGCACCCCCAGAGTCAGCACCCCCACGTTCAGCACCCGCAGCAGCACCAGAGTCACCAGTAACCTCGACCGGGTCAACTGCGTCTACCTGGGACACACCTGAGGGGGCAGGAACCTGAGGGGGGAGGGGGTCTACCGGGGGGGGAACCGGCACAAGAAAGTCCGGTGGCGAAGGAAGGGAAGGAGTGCGGTAGGGGAAGAGGCGGTAGAAGGGGACTGACTCGTCGAACGTGACATCCTGGGAGGACAGAACACGACGAGAGGAGGGGTGGTAGAACTGCCACCCTGGAGCGTCAGGGGGGAAGCCAAGGAAGACACAGGGAGCAGCACGAGGGGACAGCTTGTCCGCAAACAAGTCGCGGACAAACGCCCGAGATCCCCAGACACGGAACGCAGACGCATCGCCAACCTTCCCCGTCCACAGCAAGACTGGGGACATCGCAGGCCGAGAGACCCTGGGGTGAAGGTTGAGCTGATGCGCCGCGTACCGAACCGCAAACGGCCACAGAAAATGGGGGGCAGCCGCATGCATCATGGACGTACGAGCGACATCCATGACCATGCCAATGCGGCGCTCAGCAATCCCATTTTGCTGTGGAGAGTCCGGAAGCGTGAAGGTCTGGCGGATCCCCCGTGCACGACAGTAGTCTCGCAGAAGGCGAGAGGAGAACTCACCGCCTCTGTCCGAGTGCAGACGCAGAACAGGAAAGTCCGAGCCGAAGCTCCTCCTGAGCTGGAGACGAGCCTCGCGGATCCAGTCGATCAGCACCTCAGTGACAGCAACCTTGCTGCGCAAGGGGAGGACAGTGGTGTAACGCGAGTAGTCGTCAACCACCAACAGGAAGTAGCGCTCGTGACCCTGCCCACGGACGGGGGCTGGGCCCCACACGTCCATGTGAAGTGTCTGCAGAGGAGCCTCTGTCGGGGGGAACTGGGAGGAGTGAGGAGCAGCCCGGAGGCGCCCCTCGACACAGGGGACACAGGAAGGTCCTGGCCCCGAAGGAAGGGGAGGGAGAGACTGGGGAAGACCAGAGACAAGGACACGGGAAGCTATGCTCCGAAGACGGGGCAAGGAGGGGTGGCCCAGACGGTGGTGCCACAGGAGGGTCTCGTGAGACAGGAGGCGACACGAACAGGGGGCAGACTCAGGGCCAGACCGGGACGCAGCAGCAAACACCTGACATGACGCAGCTACCTGACCAGACGTAGGGACAGTAGGAGACGTAGTGGTCAGGGTGTTGAGGCTCGACCCCGGCCGACGCGAGAACGTGGCAAGGTGCCAGCCTGTGCTTGCGTCCGTGCAGTGGGTCACCCGCTGACTCGCAGGAGTGAACTGGTGAGCCCCCGCATCCTGTAGGTCCGCACCACTCACCAAGTTCGTCGAGAACGAGGGAAGGTATAGACCAGACAGGGTGCCAGAGGGGGCAGCCGGACACGGGAGGACAGTGGAAATGTGAGAGAGGAAAGGACCCCCAGAGGGGTCAGCCAGGGAGACCGCAACCGGCCGGCCAAGCGGCGTGAGGGTGGTGCGGTCTCGAAAGAAGGAGCGAGAAGCCCCGGAGTGAAGTGTGAAAGTGAGGGAGGACGAAGGCGACGCAGTACCTGAGAGCGCAGTCTCACCAGTACCTGAGAGCGCAGACGCACTGGCACCTAGAGCAGCAGCCTCACAAGTACCTAGCGCAGTAGTACCAATGCCCGGGTCGGGCGGGAAACACCGGTAACAGTCACCCTCCTCACTAATAGTCACAGCACACATAGCAGCAAGGATAGCATCAAAGTCAAGATCAAAGATCGCTACACCAGCCCTAAGAAGCTCATCCCAGCGGGGGATCTCACTAGCCTCGGGGAACTGCTGACGCCAAGCGTCCGTCAGGCGGCCAAAGCAGCGCTAGGTGGGGTGGGCACCCCCACACTGCTCACCCGCGCGGTCGCCGGAACGAAGGACGTAGGCACACGAACCAGCACCCCCACCCCTCTGACGCCGAGCGTACCACTCACGGAGCTGCTGAGGCGGAGGGATGTCCCGCGAACGCTGCTGCTGCTGGTGCTGCGGGCGTTGACCACCACCACCGCCGCTCCGCTGCTGGGTACCACCCCGACCAGCTTCACCCCCTCCGCCACCACCGCCTCCTCCTCCGCCTCCTCCACCGCCTCCACCGCCACCACTGCCGCCA